AGCCGACCGTCAGCCCTGCTCACTGTTTACCTAAGCAGTTCGAAAACAGCTTTAGCTGTAATTAGAGAAATTAGGTACCACTAAAAGCGGGGGAGGTGTTTTACAATGTAATAAAGAAAAATAAGATAAAAAAAATATGCTGGAGTGAGGAAGTCCTGATGGCTCTTCGTCATAGAAAATGGCGCAACAGTACCCTCTGTGAACTCGAGCCCAACTGTCCATGGCAACACCTCCTTCTGTGCTGTCTGTCTGTGTACTGTCTATACAAACGGCATTGAATGTTTGCCGTGTATGTGTACTTGTGATCTGCCCTGAGTCCCCTTCGGAGGATATTATTAGTGATATTATTATTATTATTATTATTATTATTATTATTATTATTACTTCTACTACTACTACTCGGACAACGAGGGATCGCCTAAGTAAGTAAGTTATCCTGCAGTGAGGGCATTGGTTTCCAGATGGAAGGTGGTCCCGGTTAGGGTTGGCTTCACGCGTCTTCCTCTTGGCACGTTTCTCCCTTTCGCCCTCCATTCGTGCCTCTTCGAATTCTGCAGCACTGCTGGTCACAGCTGACCTCCAGTTAGAGCGCTCAAGGGCCAGGGCTTCCCACCGATCTCGGTCTCATCTAAGCAATTGGGAAACTCAGCTGAGCGATCAACCCAGGCATTTACTTACATTGCCAGCTGGTTTTGTTTCCAAGCAACAAAATGGGGAATGCGCAAACCTCATGAGCACTTATGCACATTAAGGGCTTTATTTTGTGCGTGTTTGTTGTCGAGCTGATGCAGTTTGACATTAGTGTCGAAAAGCATTAAATGGCCAGTGCAGATGGAGCCACAGGTGCACCTCTTGTCCGCTGCAAAAGTATAGGAAATCTGAAGCAATGGCATGCACAGTATTGTCGAAGGCTTTCATGGCCAGAATCACTGGGTTGTTGTAGGTTTTTTCGGGCTATATGGCCATGTTCTAGAGGCATTCTCTCCTGATGTTTCGCCTGCATCTATGGCAAGCATCCTTAGAGGTTGTGAGGTCTGTTGTCGAAGGCTTTCATGGCTGGGATCACTGGGTTGTTGTAGGTTTTTTCGGGCTATATGGCCATGTTCTAGAGGCATTCTCTCCTGATGTTTCGCCTGCATCTATGGCAAGCATCCTTAGAGGTTGTGAGGTCTGTTGTCGAAGGCTTTCATGGCTGGGATCACTGGGTTGTTGTAGGTTTTTTCGGGCTATATGGCCATGTTCTAGAGGCATTCTCTCCTGATGTTTCGCCTGCATCTATGGCAAGCATCCTTAGAGGTTGTGAGGTCTGTTGTCGAAGGCTTTCATGGCTGGGATCACTGGGTTGTTGTAGGTTTTTTCGGGCTATATGGCCATGTTCTAGAGGCATTCTCTCCTGATGTTTCGCCTGCATCTATGGCAAGCATCCTTAGAGGTTGTGAGGTCTGTTGTCGAAGGCTTTCATGGCTGGGATCACTGGGTTGTTGTAGGTTTTTTCGGGCTATATGGCCATGTTCTAGAGGCATTCTCTCCTGATGTTTCGCCTGCATCTATGGCAAGCATCCTTAGAGGTTGTGAGGTCTGTTGTCGAAGGCTTTCATGGCTGGGATCACTGGGTTGTTGTAGGTTTTTTCGGGCTATATGGCCATGTTCTAGAGGCATTCTCTCCTGACGTTTCGCCTGCATCTATGGCAAGCATCCTTAGAGGTTGTGAGGTCTGTTGTCGAAGGCTTTCATGGCTGGGATCACTGGGTTGTTGTAGGTTTTTTCGGGCTATATGGCCATGTTCTAGAGGCATTCTCTCCTGATGTTTCGCCTGCATCTATGGCAAGCATCCTTAGAGGTTGTGAGGTCTGTTGTCGAAGGCTTTCATGGCTGGGATCACTGGGTTGTTGTAGGTTTTTTCGGGCTATATGGCCATGTTCTAGAGGCATTCTCTCCTGACGTTTCGCCTGCATCTATGGCAAGCATCCTTAGAGGTTGTGAGGTCTGTTGTCGAAGGCTTTCATGGCTGGGATCACTGGGTTGTTGTAGGTTTTTTCGGGCTATATGGCCATGTTCTAGAGGCATTCTCTCCTGACGTTTCGCCTGCATCTATGGCAAGCATCCTTAGAGGTTGTGAGGTCTGTTGTCGAAGGCTTTCATGGCTGGGATCACTGGGTTGTTGTAGGTTTTTTCGGGCTATATGGCCATGTTCTAGAGGCATTCTCTCCTGACGTTTCGCCTGCATCTATGGCAAGCATCCTTAGAGGTTGTGAGGTCTGTTGTCGAAGGCTTTCATGGCTGGGATCACTGGGTTGTTGTAGGTTTTTTCGGGCTATATGGCCATGTTCTAGAGGCATTCTCTCCTGATGTTTCGCCTGCATCTATGGCAAGCATCCTTAGAGGTTGTGAGGTCTGTTGCAAACTAGGCAAGTGGGGTTTGGGTTGTTGTAGGTTTTTTTTGGGCTATATGGCCATGTTCTAGAAGCATTCTCTCCTGACGTTTCGCCTGCATCTATGGCAAGCATCCTCAGAGGTTGGGAGGTGTTAGGGCAGTGCTTCTCAACCTTCCTAATGCCGCGACCCCTTAGTATAGTTCCTCACGTTGTGGTTACCCCCAACCATAACATTTTCATTGCTACTTCATAACTGTAATTTTGCTACTTTTATGAATCGTAATGTAAATATCTGATATGCAGGATGTATTTGCAAATCCCAAACACCCAATATGCCCAAATTTGAATACTGGTGGAGTTGCGGGGGGATTTATTTTGTCATTTGGGAGCTGAAGTGGCTGGGATTTATAGTTCACCTAGTATCAAAGAGCATTCTGAACACCACCAATGATGAAATCAAACCAAACTTGGCACACAGAACTCCCATGGCCAACAGAAAATACTGGGAGGATCTGGTGGACATTGACCTTGAATTTTTGGAGTTGTAGTTCACCTACATTCAGAGATCACTGTGGACTCAAACAATGATGGATCTGGACCAAACTTTGCATGGATACTCAATATGCCCAAATGTGAACACTGGTGGAGTTTGGGGAAAATAGAATCTTGACATTTGGGAGTTGTAGTTGCTGGGATTTGTAGTTCACCTACAATCACAGAGCATTCTGAACCCCACCAATGATAGAATTGGGCCAAACCTCCCACAAAGAACCCCATGTGGGCCACAGCAACGAGGACAGCTAGTAAATAAATAAACCTAACATAATCCTGCTATGCACAATACCCCGGAAATGCAGAGAAAAGGTGAGCAGGTAAACGTCGTCGTTACCTTTGCAAGGAATTCACCCTTGTAAGATATTTTGGGTGTAGCTAAAGTTATCCTGGGAGTGGCCAAGTTGTAGATAAATCAATATCCCAATGATTTTCTTATTCTTTATTTCCCTTTTAAGAGTCACTTTCCTATGAAAGTCTTTGGAGAGATAAAAACACACCTCCCCATTTGAGTCCTTCCTTGACGATTCGGCGTCATCCACTAAAGTGGGTGTTTGGTGCAGATAAAAGTCCGAGTTGGACAGGCAGCCCCTCCAATGGCTCCAAGCAGCACTTAACGGAGCTTTGACGAAAGCCAGCCAAGCTGACTTGGAACCCTTTCCAGGCTCAGGAGACTTAGCAGCAATGCGATATTATCGTATGGAACGTTTTATCAGGGCGTGGGACGGATGAGATACGGCTGGAGAGGCCGGTGGGACGGACTTAGCGTCAATTTATTTGTCGTGTCAGAGCATCCAGTCCATTATATTACATTTCTAACAGAACAAAGCAAACAAACAGAAAAATACAAAACTTGTGAGTTTGGTAGTTGATTAAATGTCCTTTGACCAGTATCTGGCCACTTGGAGTGCTTCTGGTGTTGCCGCAAGAAGGTCCTCCACTGTGCATGTGGCAGGGCTCAGGGTGCATTGCGGCAGGTGGTCAGTGGTTTGCTCTTCTCCACACTCGCATGTTGAGGATTCCACTTTGTGGCCCCATTTCTGAAGGTTGGCTCTGCATCTCGTGGTGCCAGAGCGCAGTCTGTTCAGTGCCTTCCAAGTCACCCAGTCTTCTGTGTGCCCAGGGGGGAGTCTCTCATTTGGTATCAGCCATTGGTTGAGGTGCTGGGTTTGAGCCTGCCACTTTTGGACTCTTGCTTGCTGAGCTGTTCCAGCGAGTGTCTCTGTAGATCTTAGAAAACTATTTCTAGATTTAAGTCATGGACGTGCTGGCTGATACCCAAACAGGGGATGAGCTGGAGATGTCTCCGCCTTGGTCCTTTCACTATTGGCTGCTACTTCCCGGCGGATGTCAGGTGGTGCAATACCGGCTAAGCAGTGTAATTTCTCCAGTGGTGTAGGGCGCAGACACCCCGTGATAATGCGGCATGTCTCATTAAGAGCCACATCCACTGTTTTAGTGTGGTGAGATGTGTTCCACACTGGGCATGGGTACTCAGCAGCAGAGTAGCATAGCGCAAGGGCAGATGTCTTCACTGTGTCTGGTTGTGATCCCCAGGTTGTGCCAGTCAGCTTTCGTATGATATTGTTTCTAGCACCCACTTTTTGCTTGATGTTCAGGCAGTGCTTCTTGTAGGTCAGAGCACGGTCCAGAGTGACTCCCAGGTATTTGGGTGCGCTGCAATGCTCCAGTGGGATTCCTTCCCAGGGAATCCTCAGAGCTCGGGATGCTTCTCTGTTCTTGAGATGAAAGGCACATGTCTGTGTTTTCTGCAGGTGAAGCTGGTCCACGTCCTATAGCTTAGTTTCCTTCTGTAAGACTGAACTAAAAATGGCTCCCTCTCCTCCCCAGATCCCTGGGGAAAGGGGCAGAACCAAACACAACAATGATAGACAGGTGGCTAGCCCTATAACTGCAAACCAAGGGAAGTCACCTTTTTGCAAAACCCCTGAAACCTTGGAATGCATGCAAACATTAAATAGAAAGAAAATGAAGTTGGAGCTCCTGGTACAGCCGTGCCAGCACATTATGCTTTTTCTCCTCTTACTTCTCCTTCTTCCTCTTTTGTGACAGACTTCGCCGTCAGCAAAACATCCCCATTTTTGGGAAGATCCGTGGCTCGCGCTTTGACCCCGACGATCCCGGCGACGGCACCAGCGACCTGGATGAAGACGAAGACCTCCAAATCCAAGTTCCTTAGCAGCCAACTGCAAGAGGAAATATCAACGGTGCTAACGTTAGAGGCCAAGATGGTTGCAGAACTGAATATTGTGCTTGGATTGTGACCTTGCACAATAGCAACATGACCTCTTTTCGATCCACCCAAATGGAGAAGAGACACCGAGCTATGAGAACAGAAAGAGAGACATTTACACTTCCCTTGAACCACTTTTGGATCTGAAGCCATTGGTCCGGAGACAATTTCAAAGAGAGTGTTGCCATGCAATGAACAACTTCCTTGCCTTCCTTGCCCTCCTTATTCCACCAAACATCTACAACTACAAATCTCATTCATTCCAGGAACACTCTGCCTATGTTGGGATTACTTGTGTTGCAACTCAGAGTAGGTTTCACCTTGCTTCCTAACACCACCACACAAGAGTTGTAGTTTTACAGTTTATTGAGGAAAAAAAATCCATCTATGCTGATGATCGTGCCATCACCGCTCAAGCAGGGAGCTTTGAGATGGTTGAACAGAAGCTCTCCGAATAAAGAATAAGCACTGCAAAGTCCCAGAGATTAAGGTTAAATGCAGAATACAGTTCCAAAGATCTTCAGGTAAAAGCAGGAGACATAATCCTATTGGCAAAGTTCAAACCAGAGTCCTAGGTACAAGCAATGAAACATTTGCCCCAAGAATCACAATGCAAGAAATCCCAAGCGTACTGCTTTCCAGCCTAAGGTTATTCCATGAAGCTTTCAGGCTAGTAAGCTACATTGAACTGACACTTTCCCTTGGTTTGCAAGAGGCCTAAATACCTTTCTAACATCAAAACATTAGGTTCTCAGCATCATAAAAGCATTGCGATGACCTCTCACCGAGCTAGCCTCCCGTCTGCTTGCCAGACGTGAACTGCGCCTGACCCGGAGATCAAGGCGAGCTACTCGGGTCAAATCCTTATCTACACTTTCGATATCATCGTGGGAAGACACCTTCTTGCTATTCCCTTCGTTAAAATCCCTTTCTTGTGAAAACAGCTGTGTTGACACTGCACTGTCTGTGAGAGCCTCAAAAACAGGCTCAGAGATTTGAGGCACAGACAAAGAGCCAGGAAGCTGAAACCCAACAGGAATCTGAATCCCATCATCCTCATCGTCAGAAACTAGCTCAGCCACAACAACTTGTACGGTGTATTATATGGCGTAATACTCCATATAATAATAATAATGGAGCCCCGGTGGCGCAGTGGGTTAAACCACTGAGCTGCTGAGTTTGTTGATCGAAAGGTCGCAGGTTCGATTCCGGGGAGCGGCGTGAGCTTCCGCTGTCAGCCCTAGCTTCTGCCAACCTAGCAGTTCGAAAACATGCAAAAGTGAGTAGATCAATAGGTACCGCTCCGGCAGGAAAGTAACGGCGCTCCATGCAGTCATGCCGGCCACATGACCTTGGAGGTGTCTACGGACAACGCTGGCTCTTCGGCTTAGAAATGGAGATGAGCACCACACCCCAGAGTCAGACATGACTGGATTTAATGTCAGGGGTCTACCTTTACCTTTACCTTTACTCCATATAATACACCACACAACAGGTGCTATCCATGCCTTTGGCTTGATTCATCCGTTCTGGGTTTTACTCTGAACTTTAAAGGAGCTGCACATGTCGTGAATACTTTTTAAACATTATAAAGATTACAAAGGTTATATTATTCCATTTATAGTGAGACAGTATATCACGGAGCAATACAGAGAAAGAAGTAAACAACACAGACATTGGGAACACAAACAAGAGGATATTACATTTCACTCAACATATAAACATTCACTCATTCATGTATACACCTGGAATATTGTGTCCAATTCTGGGCACTACAATTCAAGAGAGATATTGACAAGCTGGAATGTGTCCAGAGGAGAGCGACTAAAATGATAAAAGGTCTGGAGAACAAGCCCTATGAGGAGCGGCTTAAGGAGCTGGGCATGTTTAGCCTGAAGAAGAGAAGGCTGAGAGGAGATATGATAGCCATGTATAAATATGTGAGAGGAAGCCACAGGGAGGAGGGAGCAAGCTTGTTTTCTGCTTCCCTGGAGACTAGGACGCGGAACAATGGCTTCAAACTAAAAGAGAGGAGATTCCATCTGAACATGAGGAAGAACTTCCTGACTGTGAGAGCCGTTCAGCAGTGGAACTCTCTGCCCCGGAGTGTGGTGGAGGCTCCTTCTTTGGAAGCTTTTAAACAGAGGCTGGATGGCCATCTGTCAGGGGTGATTTGAATGCAATATTCCTGCTTCTTGTCAGAATGGGGTTGGACTGGATGGCCCATGAGGTCTCTTCCAACTCTTTGATTCTATGATTCTATGACATGACCATCACTTCTTCCTGATCCTGGAGAAGTGATCCACACATATACAAGATTGCGTTCCCTGCAAATACGCCATCATTCTCCATCACTTGAAGAAAGCAGCAAGTGACTAGACATTGTTGTCTGCCACACTTTTGGATTGTAAAAAGGTCTCTTATATAGCAATTTCTTGCTGATGTTGTTCAAAAAAGTCTTTTTCCAGCTAAAACTTGCAGACTCAATCAGTTTCGGACAGATATTAGCTTTTTTTCCTCAACTGACAACACTTCTTAACATAAAGAACATTGTTTGACTTTCTTAACTTTAAAGAGTCATTGTCTCTGGTAATGTAAACATGTTGTTTTCCACCAAGAGTTAATCATTTGTCTCTGGTCATCAATGTCAGCAATTCTCGTCAACTTTTGATTACAGTTTATGAATTCTTTATCTTCTTTTTGTAGTTTTCCAAACTTTAATATCAGAATGGTATCTTCAGCCTCTATAGGCCCGGTTATGTTAACGTATTGGGTGACCTTGGGCAAGTAACACTCTCTCAGCTTCTGATCGCTACCAGGGAGTTACCCTGCGCTGTGCTCTGACCTCCAAGAAGCACTGCCTGAATATCAAGCACAAAGTTGGTGCTAGAATCAATATCATACGAAAGCTGACTGGCACAACCTGGGGATCACAACCAGACACAGTGAAGACATCTGCCCTTGCGCTATGCTACTCTGCTGCTGAGTACGCATGCCCAGTGTGGAACACATCTCACCACACTAAAACAGTGGATGTGGCTCTTAATGAGACATGCCGCCTTATCACAGGGTGTCTGCGCCCTACACCACTGGAGAAATTACACTGCTTAGCCGGTATTGCACCACCTGACATCCGCCGGGAAGTAGCAGCCAATAGTGAAAGGACCAAGGCAGAGACATCTCCAGCTCATCCCCTGTTTGGGTATCAGCCAGCACGTCAACGACTTAAATCTAGACATCGTTTTCTAAGATCTACAGAGACACTCGCTGGAACACCCCAGCAAGTGAGAGTCCAAAAGTGGCAGGCTCAAATCCAGAACCTCAACCAATGGCTGATACCAAATGAGAGATTCCCCCCTGGGCACACAGAAGCTCTAGGTGCTCTTACTGCCTATTACAGGGAAAACCAGCTGATCCCTAATCCATCTAAAACACAGACATGTGCTTTTCACCTTAAGAACAGACAAGCATCCCAAGCTCTGAGGATGACCTGGGAAGGAATCCCACTGGAGCATTGCAGCACACCCAAATACCTGGGAGTCACTCTGGACCGTGCTCTGACCTACAAGAAGCACTGCCTGAACATCAAGCAAAAAGTGGGTGCTAGAAACATCATACGAAAGCTGACTGGCACAACCTGGGGATCACAACCAGACACAGTGAAGACATCTGCCCTTGCGCTATGCTACTCTGCTGCTGAGTACGCATGCCCAGTGTGGATCCATCCATGTTCAACATTTACACAAATGACCAGCCACTGCCAGAAGGGATGGAGAGCTTCATCTATGCTGATGATCGTGCCATCACCGCTCAAGCAGGGAGTTTTGAGATGGTTGAATAGAAGCTCTCCGAAGCTCTAGGTCAGTGGTTCTCAACCTTCCTCATGCCGTGACCCCTTAATACAGTCCCTCATGTTGTGGTGACCCCCAACCATAACATTGTTTTTGTTGCTACTTCATAACAGTCATTTTACTACTGTTATATATCATAATATAAATATCAGATATGCAAGATGTATTTTCATTCACTGGACCAAACTGGGCACAAATACCCAATGCACCCACATGTAAATGCTAGTGGGGTTGGGGGAGGATTGATTTTGTAATTTGGGAGTTGTAGTTGCTGGGATTTATAGTTCACCTATAATCAAAGAGCATTCTGAACTCCACCGGTGATGGATTTGAACCTAATTTGCCACACAGAACTCCCATGACCAACGGAAAACACTGGAAGGGTTTGGTGGTCATTGAACTTGAGTTTGGGAGTTGTAGTTCACCTATATCCAGAGAGCACTGTGGACTCACGCAATGGTGGATCTGGACCAAACTTGGCACAAATACTCAATATGAGCAAATGTGAACACTGGTGGAGCCTGGGGAAAACAGACCTTGACTTTTGGGAGTTGTAGTTGCTGGGATTTATAGTTCATTACAATCAAAGAACATTCTGAACTCCACCAACGATAGAATTGGCTCAAACTTCCCACATGGAATCCCCATGACCATCAGAAAATACTGTGTTTTCTGATGGTCTTTGGCGACCCCTCTGACACCCCTTCACGACCCCCTCAGGGGTCCCGACCCCCAGGTTGAGAAACACTGATCTAGTTGCCCTTACTGCCTATTACAGGGAAAACCAGCTGATCCCTAATCCATCTAAAACACAGACATGCGCCTTTCACCTTAAGAACAGACAAGCATCCCAAGCTCTGAGGATGACCTGGGAAGGAATCCCACTGGAGCATTGCAGCGCACTCAAATATCTGGGAGTCACCCTGGACCATGCTCTGACCTACAAGAAGCACTGCCTGAACATCAAGCAAAAAGTGGGTGCTAGAAACAATATCATACGAAAGCTGACTGGCACAACCTGGGGATCACAACCAGACACAGTGAAGACATCCGCCCTTGCGCTGTGCTACTCTGCTGCTGAGTACGCATGCCCAGTGTGGAACACATCTCACCACACTAAAACGGTGGATGTGGCTCTTAATGAGACATGCCGCATTATCACGGGGTGTCTGCGCCCTACACCACTGGAGAAATGACACAGTTTTGCCAGTATTGCACCATCTGACATCTGCCGGGAAGTAGCAACCAACAGTGAAAGGACCAAGGCAGTGACATCTCCAGCCCATCCCCTGTTTGGATATCAGCCAGCATGACAACGACTTAAATCACCCTTCTTGTTTCATTTCTTCGTTTATTTCTCTTCAGGTTGATTAATAGAGTGTTGCTGGTTAAGTCCAAAACTCCCTCCGAGATAAGAGTGATTTGGCAGTGACTTATCAGTTTGTTGTCAGTATTCCTCTCTAATTGGGCTGCTCGATAATTAGCGAGTGAAAAGTCATGGCTCTGGCTCCGCTGCCATTTTTCCAAGTCGACTTAAATCAAGAAATAGTTTTCTAAGATATACAGAGACACTCGCTGGAACACCTCAGCAAGCGGGAGTCCAAAAGTGGCAGGCGAAAACCCAGAA